TGTAGGTGAATGTAGATGATTGATCGTGAGAATTGGTGAATGAAAACGGAGTTTTACGACATTATTTATAGAGAAAATCAGCCAAAAAGATAAAATAAACAAAACAGAGTCCGACGCACAAAAAACAGAGTTGGCGCAAACCCTGGCTAGCTGGCGTCAGGCACCAACACTAGCGCCAATGGCTAGCGCCAGGCGCCAGGCGCCAAGAGTATTTTCAACGCATTTTTGAAAATCAGATAAGTTTGTCGTACTGGAGGATAAAATCATATAATTTCCTCGAAAATGCTATTTGATTTTGATTAAAACTCTGAAAAGTCAAAAAAGTCAATTTATCAATGCTAATTGAATTAGGAATGAAAATAACCTTCTAGAAGATTCTAGAAGACAAAAACTATTCCTAATTGCATTAGGAATGATAAATCATATTAGGCCCTCCCCAAGATCATTGGGCCGCACATAAAGCTCAAACCGGGCCCAGTTTGGTAAATTGGCCATAACTTCCTCAATATTCATCGGAATCGGGCTTATAATATATCGTTGGATAGGTCTTTGCAAGCCCCATCCACCTACACTACTATTGGACCCATATCATGGACCAACCGAACTGGATTGGCTGTTTTCTTAAAATAAGTTTTCAAAAACAGAGAGAAGAGAAAAGAATTAAAACTATCCGCAACACTAGACTTTGCACACTTTCACTTCATTCGATTATGATTCGACATGAAAGGTACTCATCACTAGGTTTGGTTTTGGAGAGACACAAATGGGTGTCTACAATAGTACCATTGGAGCTTAAGTGGAACAAAATACACTCTCAATGGTATAAAATAAAGTCTCAGTGGTACTCAAAAAAATTTAATTGAAGTTTAAGTGGAACAAAATATAGACTCAATAGTAGTGGTCCTTATAAATTTTTTTCCGTTTTTACACGTGATCATATGTCTGAAAAGTATTAGTGGAGTCTGTTGAGGGTAAAAATACCCTATATATGTGGACCAGTTATAGGGTGACACGTGTCATTATGGGAAGATGCCACGCGTCCAGCTTAAGGGCATTCAACGGTTCAGACCAATCCCGTAGCGACACGTGGCCCGGTTAGTGGGTGACACGTGTCGTTACAGGAAGATGCCACGTGTTTAGGGCATGTGTTCCCCTTTATTCAGCACCCAAAAGAGGCCTAACAACGTCAGGGCCCAAAACCCGAGAGATATCAATGAAAGCCGCAAAACGGCGCCCCCAAAGTAACACGTGGCATTCGCTGATTGCGCAGCCAATCACGTCACGCAATTCTAGGGTACAAACCCTAGAATGGGGAACGAGTCCCACCCCTATAAATACCCCAATCATTTATGATGGGAGGGGTGGATTAAGACATTACAACAAAAAGAGCATTAAATAGCTCCAACTTCTCTCTACTTTCTCTCTCTAGCCTTTTCCGTTCCGATCACTAACTTGATCGTCGGAGGCGAATATTCCGACAACCGAAATATTCGTTGTTTTGCAGGTTGGACCATCTCGTTGCCAGGAGAGCGTGACCAGTATCCAAGGAAATCCAAAAAACACCCGAAACATTTGGCGTCGTCTGTGGGGATACTCGTGCGATATGGCGATAGACGGTCAGACACCTAATCCAGGCAAGGACAGGCATGTAGAGGATATAATCCCTACAATTCATACCAGCGATCCGCTGATAGCCACATTTCAAGAAGCTGATGACCCACCTGTTACTGCAGCCTCTCCTAAGGCCGCGCTTAACAAACTCAGGAAAGAGATTGAGAGCAATGGAGCCTCTACCTCTAGGCAGCCGCCCAGGAGAGAGGAACAGAGGGCTCCAAAGAAGACACACAACAAAGCAGTTCATGCAATGGACGCTTGAAACACTCCCTTTCGAAGGCCGACTGGAAGGTCCCCAAGGGTACCACGGACAAATTTCTCTGATTTGTTGGCGAAAACACAGTCGGTTGGGGGGAGGGGTAGGCAGCCTCGAAGATAAGAGCCTGAGCCGTCCAGACGATGGAAGGACGCAAGGGATTACCTTCGGCATAAGCAGCGGGAACGTGCCGCCTACTCGGACACGGCCTCAACCCCAACTATGCCGGATGATTTTTCACATCATTCTCTCTCCCAACATACCAATACAGCCATCTCCAGCAGAAGTCAGGCGGTCTGCACCCCAACTCCTATTCCGGTTGTCCATACTCCAACTCCTATTCCAGCGCAATCACTTCAATATCAACCTCCTCAAGGGTTCAATGGCTTGATGCAGCCGAACCCCCAAGCCTTCGGGCAATATGGTCCATACGGAAAGGCTCCCTACTTGGATGGACCGTCCATGCAGCCACAACCCATCGATTGGAAGATGCGCCTATTCACTCTAGGAGATAAGCCGCCTCCGTTTTCGCAAGATATTTTAACTGCCGCCAAAGGTGAAGATTGTACTTGTGGGAGCCTATGATGGCACAGGAAACCCAGAAGAACACATCACCTCGTACAGGAACCTGATGTACTTGCAAAGTGTAGATGATGCTACATGGTGCAAATGCTTTCCGGCCACTTTGAAAGGTGTGGCGCATGATTGGTTCAATAGTTTGCCGGCCGGATGTATCAATTGTTTTACTAATCTTAGTTTGCTGTTTGTGGGAAATTTTTCATACAACACACCGCCTCGAAAGACTAGCCTTAACTTGGCAACAATCGTCCAAGGGAAGAATGAGGGCCTACGCTCGTACGTCCAACGACTTAACCAAGAAAAAGCCCAAATTCATAATCTGCCGGATGAAATGGCTTACTTTGAATTTCTCCGGGGATTAAGGAACAATGGTTTTAAATTTGACCTGGTAAGAAAAAAGATTCGGACATACGCAAGTGTCTTGCGGGAAGCCGAAGCTTATATTGAAGCGGCGGACTTTTGTTCGCTCACGAAATCAGAAGCGCCGGCCAAGGGGGCTGAGAAAAAAATTCCTCAGCAAGACTCGGTCGGCCAAAAGAAAGAAGGAAAAAAGAGAAAGGAAGTCTGGGTGGCTGACGCTCAGCCACAGAAGTCTAAGAAGGTCAAGACGTACGAGCCTCAGTTTGAATTCAACAAGGATTGTTATTCTATCTTGATGGAAATCAAGGATAAGTTTGAATTTGAAAAGCCACGGCCGCTGAGAGGCCCGGCTCAGTACGAGAACAAGAACAAGTACTGTCATTACCACAAGGACGTGGGACATGACACAAGCGATTGTATCAACCTGGAGAGATTGCTAGACAAGCTAGCCGAGAAGGGCATGTTGAATTCTTATGTGATGAAGTCCAAGTTCACCTACACACGGACAAACAACACGTCCGAGCAAAGACCGAAGAATGATAAGAATAAAGACAAGGAGGATGACGGGAATAGCACTGATTCAGGCTTTGTACCCGTAATATCAGGGGGATTCGCCTCAGGCGGCCCAAATATGAAGGGGATCAAGCAGGATGCCCGGAACTTGGGAAAGGTGATGCAAATGGACTCAGTAAAGGCCGAACCTTTCCCTGAAGTAATCATTAGTGAGGCCGATCGGGGGGAGGTCAAAGCTCTGCACAATTATGAAGATAGCCAATTTGAAGGTCGGACAAATATTGATTGACACAGGTAGCGCGGCTGACATCATCAGCCTGGCCGCCTTGAAGAATATAATCTTCCCAGAGGATGCTCTCCAGGACATCACTCACCCGTTGGTTGGATTTGGGGGAATGTTTTCCACCCGGTGGGGCGGATAAATTTACCCGTTCGCTTTGGGCAAAAAGGGGAAGGAAGAGATATGGTAGTCCGCTTCTTGGTTGTGAAAGAGATGACTGGATATAATGTCATACTTGGCCGTCCTACCCTGAATGCAGCCAAAGCAGTCATTGTACCTCACCTAATGCTGCTAAAGTTCGAGAGGACGGACGGAAAAATAGGGACAATCCAAGGGATTCAAAAGATGGCAAAGGAATGTAATCAGTTGGCGGTTAAGCCTACAGCGCACGGACCAAAAGCGTCCGAGCCAAAAGAAGAAGGAACCTCACTCCCAGCACACCAGTTCGGCCAGAAGCGTAAGGCGGCCAAGATAGAACAAGCATAGCAGCTAATGACTGTCGGTCAGCCAGAAGAGTTACGACCCTAGCTGGCCGGCAGTCACCAAGATATAGTGCTTAACCCCGATCGATTAGGTTGGACGGTTAGTGTGGGCACTATAGCTTTGGGTGTGCTTGGGGATGAGTTAATTCCATTGCTGAGAGAATTCAAAGACGTATTTGCATTTGATGTTGGTGAGATGCCAGGAATAAGCCCTGACCTGGCCGTGCATAAGCTGGCTGTAAATCCAGCCATTAAGCCTGTCCGCCAAGAAAAAAAGGAATCATGGAGAACAGAGGAATCAGGCGGCCGCAGCTGAAGTAAAAAAGCTGCTGGACACCGGTTTCATTCGGCAATGTTATTACACAGACTGGGTACCCAATGTGGTTCTTGTGAAGAAGCCGAATGGAACTTGGAGAATGTGTGTGGATTACACCGACCTGAACAAGGCATTCCTTAAGGATAGATTTCCCTTGCCCAAAATCGACCGCCTGGTTGATTCAACGGCCGGGCATGCCCTGATGAGTTTATGGACGCATACTCCGGATTCCATCAAATTCCATTATGGAAAGAATATCAAGAGAAAACAGCGTTCGTAACCGAGTAGGGGTTGTACTGTTATAAAGTTATGCCATTCGGCCTTAAGAATGCCCCAGCTACCTTCCAACGACTCGTTAATACAGTCTTCAGAGATCAGCTCGGCCGGAATATGGAGGCGTACATTGATGACATGATTGTCAAGTCAAAAGAGCCGGCCGACCATTTGAAGGATCTGCGAGAAACTTTTACCAAACTCAGGCGGCATAAGATGATGTTAAATCCAAAGAAATGTGTCTTTGGTGTTGAGTCCGGTAAATTTCTCGGATTTTTAATTGATCAGCGTGGAATTGAGGCCAACCCTAAAAATATCCAAGCCGTCATGGACATGAAGTCACCAAGGACGATTAAAGAAGTACAAAGATTGACCGACTGTTTAGCAGCACTTGGTAGATTTATGTCAAGATCAGGGGATAAGTGTCGTTATTTCTTTCAAACCATAAAAAAGAAAGCCATGTTTGAGTGGACAGAGGAGGCCGAGGAATCATTCGTACAGCTAAAAAGCCACCTTCATACATTGCCTCGGCTTGTCAGTCCACTCAAGAGTGAGAAGCTATTTATCTATCTCGCCATCTCTGAACACTCTCTAAGTGCTGTCCTGCTTGCTGAACGGGACGGCCACCAGATCCAAGTCTACTTTATCAGCCATGTACTTCACAACGCTGAGCTGAGATATCCCCCTATTGAAAAATTTGGCTTTGCATTATACATGGCATCGAAAAAGCTGCGGCCATACTTCTTGGCACATTCAATTGTGGTTTACACAGACCAACCTATGAAGAAGCCTTTTACAACTCTAGAGGCAAGTGGCCGTATGCTCAAGTGGGCCTTAGAAATGAGAGGCTTTGACATTGCATTTGAGCCAAGAAAAGCAATCAAGGGACAAGTCTTTGCTGATTTTTTAGCTGAGATGACTCGGCCGGATTTTCAGCCGGCCGGAGACCAGATCTGGAAGGTGTTTGTGGATGGTAGTGCAACAACTACTGGGTGTGGTGCATGTGTCATATTTCAGTCTCCTGAGGGAGATAAGTTTCAAGCCTCCAATAATGAGGCCGAGTATGAAGCCCTCCTAGCAGGTCTTAGAATGTGTAAGGCGGCAGGAGCAACAAAATTTGATGTAAGCTCGGACTCCCTACTTGTAGTCGGCCAGGTGAATGGAGACTTCGAGGCAAGGGAGCCGGCTATGATGAAGTATCTGAAAATTGTAAAGGAGGAGGCTAAGGGCCTAGATCATTTTACTCTACAACAAGTTCCTCGTTCGTCCAATCATCAGGCAGACGCCCTCTCTAAATTAGCATCCTCAGCATCATGTGATACCCCCAGGTCGGTATTTTGGGAGGTAAAGGAAAGAAGGAGTATTGATGCCGAGCCGGTACATATCATTGATAGAAGCTCCACTTGGATGGACGGGATCATATCTTATCTAAAGGATGGATTACTCCCGGCCGATCCTAAAGAGAGTTGGCTGATGAAATAGAGAGCAGCCTGGTTCGAAATGAAACAGGGGGAGTTGTTTAAAAAGGCATTTGTGAAGCCGTACCTGAAGTGTATCACTCCTGAGAAAGGGCATGATGTCTTGGACGATCTTCACCAGGGGCAGTGCGGCTCTCATATTGGAGGGAGAGCCTTGGCTGAAAAGGCTGCCCATCTGGGCTACTACTGGCCGAGCTTAAATTCGGACGCCATGAAAATGGTAAAGAAGTGTGACAAGTGCCAGAGATTTGCAACCTTGATCCACCGACCCGCCAACAGTCTTTCGGCCATCAGTAGTCCGCTCCCCTTTGCCAAATGTGGGATGGATATTTTAGGACCGTACACACCAGCATCCGGTCAAAGGCGTTATGTGTTTGTAGCAGTAGACTACTTCACAAAGTGGGTGGAGGCCGAGGCTGTACGGGGCATCAAGTGGACGGATATTTCAGCCTTCATATGGAAGAGTATCATTACACGCTTTGGCGTTCCTGAGTCTATGGTGTTCGACAATGGACCCCAGTTTGAAACGCCTCAACTCAAATTATGATTGGAGGACCAGGGCATAGCTCATTGCTTTGCTTCAGTCGGCCAACCACAAGCGAATGGTCAGGTAGAGTCATACATCAAGTTAATCTCCAATGATATTAAGCGCAAGCTTGAAAGGGCAGGCGGCTTATGGGCTGATGAGTTGGTTAATGTGTTATGGTCCATACGAACCACGGCCAAGAGTTCCACATGAGAAACTTCATTCTTCCTGGTCTATGGCACCGAGGTTGTCCTCCCAATTGAGATGTATGAGCCCACCCTTAGGGTGATGCTATATTATGAAGCGGCTAATTGGGAAGCCATGAAGACCGCCCTAGTCTTACTTCATGAAGCTAGGGGCAACGCGGCGCTTAGACACGAGATCTATCGCCTAAGGATGATAAGGGGATACAATCGCCGAGTGTCAAAGCGGCCGATAAAATTGGGAGATCTGGTCCTAAGAAAGATGGAGGTTGTGGGAAGAGCAAATGAAGATGGAAAGCTGACCCCAAACTGGGAAGGGCCGTATCGAGTCAGGGAAGAAGTTCGAGATGGGACTTACCATCTTGAAGCCATGAACGGACGACCTATTCCGCGTACATGGAACACTGACAATTTGAAGAAATATTATGTTTAAGTTTAAGTACTTAGCCAAAAGCTGTATATACAGCTAGGTTAGTTGACCGAGCAATGTAACCCGTACGGCCACAACAATGTAATTTTGACAAATTAATTAAAAGTCAAACATTGTTATATTATTTTCCATTCTATTTATGCTTATTTGCACGGTCATAGTCTACACAGAAATGCCGCGTGAAATTTGTGATTAGGTTGCTTGCAACACAGCAACCCGGTCGCAGAATAAAGTAAATTAAATAAAATAAAAACGACCGACTTGACACTAAGTCGCATGTATACGTCCGTCCCTCGCTGAGGCGGACGGAAAAGTTAAGGTACCCTATGAAACCCGTCTAATGGGGCAAGGGCATACCTAGGAATTCCAGCCTAGCCAAACTTAGAAATTTTAAGTTGAGATCATACTTGAAATTTTTTAAGCGCGTCCGAATGATAGTTTCAACGGACAAACTCGCATAAATCCAATCGAACGGACAAATAATGTGTTGATTCGGCGTACCACCTAGTCCAAGGGAAATCATTACTATGATTTGATTGACTTGCTAGTAGTCATACCCCCCAAGGTATAAATTCTACCAAGTCAATCAAACCACTTAAAATATGGACCAGGCGAACGCCGAATAAAGGGGCATACCCCCCCCCCCCAATTGTACGAGGATACAAAAACGTAAAAAAAAAAGTACGCGTACGAAAAAGCAAAAACATGTCAAGTGTAAAATTTGCAAAGTATGAAGCATAATAGAAAAACTTGGATTAATAAAAAGACCGCTCAAAGGGCGGCAAAGTATCTTACAATAAACCGCACGACAAGGCGGCAGATAAAGAAAATAAAAATTAACAAAACAAGGCAGAAAGAGCTGAAATCAAGGGGCGGCTGGGGTAGAAGCTGGACTCTGGCCAGGCTCTTGAACGGCGGCAAGGACGCGTCCTCAGCAGGCGTCTCCTTGCTCTCAGCTTCACCATCTTTGTTGGCCGCCACTTCTTTGTTTTCCTCCTCTTCTGAGGTAGTTCGCGTGACGTCCAGCTCAGGAGAAGGTTGCCCGGCCTCCTTAGCCTCTTCTCTGAGGCAAACAAAGTTGAGACGTTTGGTGAAGCGTTTTGATAAAAGGACGCCTCGCCCTCGTCCACCATAAGCTCAAAAGCCTCAAATAAGTGGCTCTTCAGCCTGTCCTCAGCGTTCTGCTCAATGCGGACGATCTCATCCGCACTAGGGGCCCGAGGTGTTTGCAGCTGAAGAGTTCAGTCCTCAACGGACTTTTTTAAACTTTCCACGTCGGCCTTGAGAACGTCTGCCTCGTCCAAGGCCTCCTTCAAGTGTTTTTGGGCCAAGGCCACATCACTTCTAAGCTTCTCGGAGGCCTCGAATCCTTCCCTCCAGCGCTGGCCGTCCAAGAGGGCCTGATCCCTCTCCTGTCTCATGGCATCTCTGGCCAGGGACTCTTGCTCTAGGTCCTGGCCCAGCTTCACCAAATCTTCAGCCTGCCGCGCTGCCTTGTCGGACAGCGCGTTGATTTGGGTTTCGAAATATCGACGTTGGACGGCCGTTTCCCCAGTAATGGCATCCTAGGTCTTCTGAAACTGGGTCCAGGCATGCTTCAGCCTTTCATTCTCCTTGTCCTTCCATTCAAGGAAGGCATTCAACCGCAGGAAGAGTTGCGTACAGGGAAATCATGTTAGCAAAATAAGAATGAAAAATTGACTAAGTATGACAGTTGAGAGAGGAATTACCTCGGCATTGCTGATCATTGGGCCAAGGAAGCCCTCATGGATCCCCCGCAGCTTGTCTCGCTGCTCAGCAGGGACCGCCTTGACCATGGCCTTCCTGTCCGCGCCCGTAAGGGATGGGCCGGGCAGCTTCATGTGCAGCTCCTCTACAATGTCTGTGCAAGGGCGCAAAAATAAAAGTTTAGCTCAGGATCAGTCAGACTTGTAAAGAGCGAAGTAGAGAATTCAAAGTTAATCGGACTGACCGTCAAAGAAGCTTGGAGGGGTAGTAAGATTGAAGGTGAATGACGGGGGCGGCGCAGGCTCGTCACCCTCTTCCCCCGTCCGGCCAGGCTGATTGCCGGCCGACTGAGAGGCTTCAAGCCAATCAGATTCGTTGACTCTTTGAACGGGCGGAGTCACTTCTGGCCCTGTCGGTTTTGCTGGGGTCAACTTACCCCTATCGTCATGATCCGGCATGGCGGCCGGATCCATGGACTTGGAGGCCCCGCTATCACTCATCCGGGGTTGTTCTCCTTTGAACTGCTTAGAGGCATTCCGCGACGTGGTCTTGGCCACAGTGGTGGAAGTGGTCTTGGATGCGACCGTCTTCCTTTACTTGGATGCCCTACCGTCCTTGTCCGTCTTGGAGGCAGGGGACGACTGCTTCTGTTTGGACCTAGGGGTCGGAGTTGACAGTTGAAGAGACAAAAGTTAGCGAAAAGAGAGCAAGATAATACAATTGATTGGTCGTGTCTAGTTAGGAAGAAGATCTCTTCCGTAATGCCTACACGGACGCAAAGAAGAAATGGAGATGGGTGTACTTACTTGTTTAGATTGCTCGTACAGCTTCCGATGAGCCTTGTAACGGGCCAAGTCAATCTCCGACATGTTTACATCCCCTTTCTGCTCTGAGTCAAGCATCTTGTAAGCCTCAGCTGAAAAAGAAAAGGAGAAAGTGTTAGAAAACCCTTCAACGTCAAATAACCTACGTATGTGTAAAAATATGCGTCCACCTTGGGGCAAGTTCTTGTATAGGCCATAGGCGGACATGAACGTGGGATCCCGTAGCCAACTGGATAAGGGGACCTAGTTGCTTGGAACGCGTTCAATTTTGCCGTTCCTCTTCACCCTCTTGACTTTGAAGTATTCAAGCTGGTGCTCTTGGCTGGGGTGGACGGGTGGCTTATCAGGCTTGAGGTCCCCACGTCCGAGCTGAATTGGTTCAGCATTGAACCGATTCATCCGCAGATTGAATTCAACATCCTTGGTATTGATGCGGTAGAATCGGTGCTTCTAGTCACGCCATTTGGAGACGCGGTCGACCACCATCATGAAGTCCCTACTGGTACTCAGAATAAGCCAGCCGTCCGTCTCGGTGTCCAACTTGGTCAGTGAGTGCATCTCACAGAAAACTGCAAAGTCCGGCTTGAAGCCTTTGCAGATGCACGTCACCAAATACCCAAAAATGTTTAACCAGCTGTTCGGCATCAGCTGGAAAAGAGCAATGTCGTATTCGTCTAGGATGGTGCGGACGAAGGGGTGGAGAGGAAAGCGTAGTCCAACGTCCAGAGCCTCCCTGTAAACGCTAAAAGACCTTTGGCGCGGCCTCTCTTCCTCCCAGGCAGCCACAGCATGTGACTTCCTCTGGGGCTAAATTTCAAATCCCTCCCCAAGGTGGAGGAATACCTTGTACTCCTCAAAGTTGTCATTTAGGTAGCCCAAGGTCGTGCTACCCACCGTACAGGCGTACGGGTCCTTAAAGTTATCGGCGTTGGCGACTTCTTCCTCGGCCGCCGCCTCGCACCGGGTCGCTTTCTCGACCTCTCCCTCCTCTTGTTGAGGAGCGCTCCCAAACTCAGAAGACAACACTCTGTTCAGATCGGCTGCCTCCGCTGAGCTACGGCTCCTAGAGCTACGGCCGCCCCTGGGAGGGGTAATGTCTTCATTGATTAGGGGCCTTTTGCCTTTGTCTTTGGCATCGGCCGCCTGACTCCTAGTAGGAGGCGCTCTGCGAGGGGGCAGGTCGGATGGTTCATTAATTAAGACCCCAGTTCTTGGTCTGTCCGATGACATATCGGAGATAGAGTTCTGAGGGAGTAGGGACGGACGGATCAGCGTCCGCCCAAGAAGAGGAAG